AAATAGTCAAAGGCTCAAGAGTAGAGGTCTCACGATAATGAAGTAATTATATGAATTTCTTCTTGGGGATCGCGTGAAAGTTTTGAGTAATGATGTTGGCCAACCTATTGGGACAGAAGCGTGTGTTTTAGCTAGTTACTTAGGCATGATTGTACTCAATGTTAATATTCTACCGATCAATTTTGAGTCATGGCGTGAGATGCCGAATAGTAACAAAAATAAGGTTGTGGATTGTATTAAGGTAATAATTTCATTGTAATAAATAGTTCATTATAATTCAATAGTAATTTATATTTACTTTTGGCACTTGTGTTATTTGTAGGATAAATTCTCTCTAGAGGTCTCAGATAATTATCTGAAGCAAGCATTAGGAAATAAATGGAGAGACCACAAGAGTTCCTTAAAAAAGGAATATTGTAAGAATAATCTCAGCCTAGAACAAAAGTTTCAAAATGTCACACCTGGAATGCTCAGGTATCAATGAGAAGATGTAGTCAGGTTTTGGAGTTCAAATAAAGGAGAGGTATGATGCACTTTTAAAAAATAATATTATGTCACTATAATATTAACTTTATAAGTCATGTAAATTTTAAATTGTAGGACCGCGAGCACGTTGGTATTTCTAGCAGACAACAACAAGATCTAGACTTTTTGTGGCGTTTGTTTCTTAAACGCTGTTAAAAAGCAAGATCTATTGCGGCGTTTTGTGTTTAAAAATGCCGCTAACGCTTGCGGCGTTCGTTGAACCGGCGCTTCTTGCGACATTTTTTTTTGTGTCGGGAGTGTTTTTTGCGGCATTTAAAAATGTCGCTATAGAACTAAAAAATCTCAATAAACCAATTCTATTGTAGTGGTTCAACCTCTCAACAATGAAAACACAAAAGGAAGAAAAAGAATCGAACATAACATATCCGTAAAATTAACATTGCATGGAAGAACATGGGTAACCGCTTGAATAACCGTTGAGAGTAAAAGACTTGAATGAATAGCATACAAGAGGAAGAACCCTAAGCTTCCAATACCATATGCCATTAATTTAAATTATTTGATCTTTGACTGTTGATATTTTATCATTAAATTAAATTGTATTTAAGTTCAGATAGATCAAAATAAAATTTTAAGTTTATGTAATGTAATTATCCTTGTGAGGTGTGTGTGTGTTTTTAATTTTTTTATCAAATAAAGTGCAGGTGAAGTGAGGTTCACTGAATCATGCCATGTCCAACCAAATCATAAATCCTGTTGGTTAATGCATGCATGAGATGTGAATATTCCATTTTAGACGTTTCCATTCCAATTAGCCTTACGAAACGCTTCATCTAGCTCTAATTGCTTTTTCATCACCTTTGATATGCGTTTTTCCCCTACCAACCATATATAGTCATAGTTTTCCATTAAAAAAAAGGAAATGACCATCCAGCTCAGTTGATAGAGCACAAGGTTCTTAACCTTGAGGTCGTGGGATTGAGTCCCACGGAGGGCATTTCATAATTCGGAGGTCTCTTACGGAAGCTGCTCTCAACCTGGTGTTAGGGGTAGCCTACTATCTTACCTCCCCTTACCCCATATATATGGGAAAAATGGACAGCCATTTTTTTTCCATTAAAAAAAAGAATAATCATAATTACGAATGCTTGTGCGGTTGTGCCGTTCTATATGGTAGTTGTGTACATTATAGGCGTAATTTGTTTCTAAAATATATTTTTAAATTATGAATGCGGTTTGGTGTGACAGTGACTTATAAACGGTTACTATAAAACTGTGAGGCTGCGTTGGTGTAACTTAGTGGCGAATGTTCGGTGTACATTAGGGTTAGGGTAACCACTTGTCAATCTTGAAAATTTTTAAAATCCAAATTTTATTCTTAAAATTTAATTTTTTTTAATATATGTGTGTATTCACCCTAAAATTTTATATTATTAATATATGTGTCAACTCTAAAAAAAAATTCTAAATCTGTAAGCGGTGCAACTTGACTATGTTTATACTCAAAGAATGATTATCTTCTATTCTTTACTAAGCTTTTAAAACGTTACAGGGAATTTTTATTTCCTACCATTTTCAAAGCGTTTTCAGAATCACATTACACCGGCCGGGTACCCATTTCAACATGAAACGTGAGACATGCTTTGATAAAACTAAAACAAATAATTTTTTGACCAATTTCGACAGTGTAATTGTTCAATAACCTGATAAGCCGCTGGAAATCAGTCACTTTAACGCTTATAATGCCTGCTTCAATTGGTATAGCACTTTAAATAAATAAATAGTGAACCTTCACTTCGATAAAAAGGAAAGAAGCAGGACGTACTTTAAGCCTTCTAATTACCATCCCTTCGCTAGTAGTTTAACTATACCTTGCCATGCCCTATACCCTGACACCCCGAATGATCGCATCATCGTCCTTCTTCTTCTGGCCATGTGTTGTTTACAGCCATGGATTATGCAGATGCTGATGTAAGTTCCATTATTCTTCTTGAGCTCTATTCTTGTATTCACTATCTCATCACTTTCATCCATGAAAACGAAATTAACACAAGGTTGTGCCATATGATTCTCAGTGGACAAATCATGGGGGCGACCTAAATAACAGAAGGTATGCGGTGGAGAAGTGTTTTCAACTCGTTAACAGTCAGGAACTTAGCATTAAGATGGTCATTCTATGCTGGCAAGGACATAACAGCAACTCAGCGGTTGCAAATGGAGTTGTCTACTTCCATCATGGAATGGATATTTGTATGCGGTTAATGCATTCAACGGTGGTTTAATTTGGAAGCAGAATCTAAGCGAGTTAACTGGACGATCCGGCACCGGAGTTGTCGTAAATGTTACCGTCTCAAGATCAACCCGACAGTTGACGGGGACCTCTTGATCGTAGGGATATACGGACGGCGGTAGTGATTGCTCTCGCACGAGCAACTGGGAGACTCGTTTGGTCTACTACACTAGACCCGCGTCCCAGGGTTCTGATCACAGGATCTGGAACAGTTTACATGGGGTTAGTCACCTACGATTTGCATTTCAAGTGCTTCTTGTTTGCCAATGATTAATTAATATATTATTCATCTGATTGTCCTGCAGGGCCTTCTATGTAGGAGTTTCATCTCTAGAGGAAGGACTACCACCAGAGCAATGCTGCACTTTCAGAGGCAGCGTCGTAAAGCTAGCCATCCGGACCGGTGCAATCTTATGGCAAACATATATGCTTCCAGATAATGGAGGCAGATTGGGAGGATATGCAGGAGCAGCTGTATGGGGAAGCAGCCCTGCAATCGATACAAGCAGGAGACTAGTTTATGTGGCGACTGGGAACTCTACACAGCTCCTGCTGAAGTTTTAAAATGTCAAGAGGCGCAAAACAATCAGATGCTAAACCAAGTCATCCTGATCAGTGCATAGGCCCTGATACAAATTACGACTCGGTTGTAGCCCTGGACATTGATTCGGGAAGGATCAGATGGTCAAAGCAATTGGGGGGCTATGACGTATTTTATTTCGCTTGTTTAGTTCCTAACAACCCTGACTGCCCCGGGTCCTAATTTAGATGCAGACTTTGGAGAAGCCCAATGCTCCTCACTATAACGTCTAATGGAACATTTCGTGATGTTGCGGTCGCTTTGCAGAAGAGTGGCTTTGCATGGGCTTTAGACCGAGATAATGGTGGTATAGTTTGGTTTAATGTAAGTACGAACAAAAGGCCATTCTATAGTCACAATAGTACACCTCATTTGATGATGCTTTGTGATCTAAAATTTGAGTTTATCAGCTGGCTGGACGGGTGGGAAGGAGGGAGGAGGAATATGGGGCGCAGCCACAGATGGAAGAAGAATTTACACCAACATCGCGAACAGTGATCGGCAAAGCTTCATGCGCACGCCATCTAACCAAACAACTACAGCAGGAGCATGGGTAGCTTTGGATGCTAATACGGGAGATGTCCTATGGGCACGGCAAACCCAGCAACGACACTGCCCAGGCGCCTGTTACACTGGCCAACGGCATCTGTTCGTAGGTTCCGTAGCTTCTGACGGACCGATATACGCCATCGACACCAACACAGGAAATGTACTATGGACCTATAACAGGTGCTACAGTGTATGGTGGAATATCGGCTAGCTATGGGTGCATTTACCTGGGAATGGTTATACAGTTGGGTGGCAAAGTTTCACCCTACTTGGACTCCAGGAACTTCACTTTATGCATTTTGTGTAGCCTGAGTTTGGCAAAACCTGCCACTATGAAAGAAGTAAGCACTATAAACAGATGAGAAACCATTAGTCCAACTGTGGCACTACTATGAAATAAAATTACAAAAATTCATCCCAACTTCTTAAAATCCTCATATATATAGTAATATTTAATAATAATTATGACCTTTGCCTTTACTAGCAAGTGCCATCATAATGCATACTCTCAAACAAATCATATAAGGAGGATATAACAAGTAAATAAAAATTAGTACCATCAAATAATTATTTGAATATAATTCAGTTATATGTAATATATTTAGGGAAAAGTATAAATGTTCCTTGATTATGGGTACTACTTTATTAAGTCCCTCAAGTATTAAAAGTTATAAAACGGTCATTGACTATAGAATGTTATTTGTTAAGTCATTCGACTATTAAAGTTATAAAATGGTCATCGACTATTTATTATTTTCTAAAATTGTCCTTTTCCGTAAAAATATTCACAGTTATTTAAGCTAGAACAAACATAATGATTGGGATATGATACTAGTTTAAGATTCTGAGATCAAATTTTATCATATCATAATTAGTAAGTTAACGTTCAACTCAAAATACTGTCAATTTTTTAACAGAAAATGACGAGTTTAGAACATAATTAATAGTAGGATAATCATTTTGTAAATTTTAACAATCGAGGGACTCAAGAAAACAAAACTCTACAGTTAAAAAACTATTTTATAACTTTTAATAATTGAGAGAGTTATAAAACAATATCCCATAGGTGGGGACGTTGCGCACGTTAGCCTACATTTATAGTTGCCGACCACAAGTTCACTCTCACTACTACACTCTAATGGATTACACTTCTAATGGAGTCGTGAGTTTTCTCTTTTTTTCTTTTGGATTTTATTTTTTTTCCGCTGAATCAGTGATGCTTCTGCTATTCAGTTTCGCTTCATTTATTTATTTGACTTTATGTTAATGTACTCGTAATTGAACCAACTTTACCAACTCGTCTAGGGAAATGCTGTTCTTTTTATCTCAATTTTGAATTTATTTAATGTTTGTTGAATTTCATTCAGCATTTTATTTACTTACTAGTGTATAATATCTTTTTGTTTTTACTAATTTTAATCTGTAAGGCTCAGTAATTCCTTTGATCTTTGTTTCATGTGTTTGCATGAATAATTTTGTGCTTGATATAGAGATTTATCGTTCTGGTTCTTCTTTACTTCACGGGTACCTTTTATCTAGTTTTGAATTATGTCAGGCAATCACATCAACTGGGACTAAGAAAGGCGAATTGCTCTTGGCTGATGTAACACTCAGCTGAAGAACAAGAACATCACAACTGATGTGAAGGTCGACACTAAATCGAATGTAAGTTGTGCAGTGCTTTTACAATTCAGTTGGGTTATATCTCTAAGGACTTATTAATAGTTGTTACATCCTGTTGGGGTATGTTACTCTCGTGTCGTGAATACAACAACAGAGGCTTTTGTACCTTACAAATGTACAAGGTGTTATTTCCCTTTTTAATTTCAAACCATGGCACTGGGCCTTTGTTTTCTATTGACATTTGAAATTATTGTAGCATTGGATATTATCCATTTTGAGTTTGGCTTTCACTTTTTAGCTTTTCTCCACTGTTACTGTTGATGAACCTGAACCAGTATTGAAGACCATCTTTAGTTTTGTTGTTCCTGATCAAACGGCAAGGTAATTGCGACTTTCTTACCCCTGTTCCTGTCATGAGTTCGTTTTGCTAATAACAAAGTTGTCAGCATCTTCATTTAAGCAACGAGGTGTAGCTAGCTATATGTACCCCTTCTGTTAAATTATTATAGTTTGTACGAGTAATATCTGCCTTTATTGTTGTGACAGGTTGAGCTGCAATACCAGCTTGAATATGCTGGCATAACTGTTGGATCATAAACTGATTCATTATGGGAGCCTAACCTAAATTCAAACTAAATTGATGTCATTATTACATCATTTAATTAAAGATGTCATTGCTTACATCATTTAAATAATGATGTCATGCTTACATCAATTTAGTTAGGTGATAGTTAGATATTTGTTTAATTTGTAATGGTTTAAATTAGTTTATTTGTGTGGTGTAGGATTGTTCTTGAGTAGTATAAATACCTTCCCCATTTTAGTTTTAAGCATCAAGAAAAATTAAGAGCTTTTAAAGTCTTATAAGAGTGAGTTGTAGTTCTTGTTTTGAGTGAGAGTGCTCTTGTAATATTTGTTTGAGTTTCAATAAAAGTTGTTTGTGTGAGTGTTTTATTTCCAACAAAGTGATATCAGAGCGAGTTGGAAAGATTGAAGGTCTCGACGAGAGGAATCCGACGCCACCAAAATTTTCTCAATCTGAGTTCTGACGCACCACCACGCACCGCCGGAAGACTGTTGCCAGAAAATCAAGTTGACTCACCGAGTTGAGCCGAGTCAGCCGAGTTGGAGCCCTTGACCGAGTGTCCAAGTCCCTCCCAAGGTTTTTTCGGCGTTCCGGATTCATCCGTGCAATCGGATTTTACAAAATCTCATTATATTGAGAGATATGGCAAATGGTATGGCACCATTCCAAGTTCCGACACTCAGCAACAACAACTACGACAATTGGAGTATCAAAATGAAGGCACTTCTTGGATCACAAGATGTGTGGGATATCATAGAGAAAGGCTATAACGAGCCTGCGGATGATGATGTTTTTGCTACTCTTACACCAGATCAAAAGAAACTCTGAAGGATTCAAGAAAGAGAGACAAGAAGGCTCTCTACCTCATCTATCAAGCATTAGATGATGATGGTTTTAAAAATATTTCAAGTGCAAGCTCTAGCAAGGAAGCGTGAGAGAAGCTGCAAACCTCTTACAAAGGATCCAAGCAAGTGAAGAAGGTTCGTCTCCAAACATTAAGAGGTGAATTCGAATCCTTAAACATGAAAGCATCTGAGTCTATTTCAGATTACTTCTCAAGAGTAGTAGTTGTTTCTAATCAATTAAAAAGAAATGGTGAAAAGTTAGACGATGTGAGGATAATAGAGAAGATACTCCGTTCGTGGATCCAAATTTGAGCACATCGTCGTGACGATTGAAGAAACTAAAGACTTGGAAGAAATGACGATCGAGCAACTCCAAGGATCATTGCAAGCATACGAAGAGAAGCATAAGAAGAAGCATTAGTTTACTGAGCAACTCCTCAAGTTGCAACTCAAAGATATGCATTAAAGCCAACGCAATGATAGAAACCAACGTGGCCAAGGCAAAGGTAGAGGCCATGGACGAGGTGGAAGTCGAGGTCGTGGACGAGGCTGGAATTACAACAACAATAATTCCAACAACAACTATGAGAAAGGAGAAAGCTCAACACGAGGCCGTGGAAGAATCAATCCGAACTCAAGGCGTGACAAATCTCAAATTCGATGTTATAATTGTCAAAAGTTTGAGCATTATGCTTCAGAATGTAGAGCTCCCAACAACAAAATTGAGGAGAAGGCTAACTACGTGGAGGAAAATACAGATGGCAAAGAAACTCTTCTTCTAGCACGAAAGGAAACTGATGGTGGCCAAGCAAATTCCTGGTATCTTGACAGTGGTGCAAGCAATCACATGTGTGGAACGAAAGACATGTTCGTGGAGCTAGACGAGTCAGTAAGCGGAAATGTTTTGTTTGGAGATGATTCCACAATAGCAGTGAAAGGGAGAGGTAACATTCTTATCCGTTTGAAAGATGGGAGACATCAATTTATTTCAAATGTCTACTATGTGCCCAATATGAAAAGTAACATCTTAAGTTTAGGGCAACTGGTAGAGAAAGGTTATGATATTAATATGAATAATTATAATTTCTAAAAGATGATAAGAATAACTTCATTGCTAAAGTGCCGATGTCAAAGAATAGAATGTTCTTGATCAACATACAAAATGATGTTGCAAAGTGCCTGGAAGCTTGCTATAAAGATGCATCATGGCTTTGGCATCTTCGATTTGGGCATCTCAATTTTGGAGGTCTAGAGCTGCTATCTAAGAAGGAGATGGTGAAGGGACTACCTCGCATCAACCATCCTGATCAACTTTGTGAAGGATGTCTAGCTGGGAAACAATTCAGGAAAAGCTTTCCAAAGGAGTCAGAAGAAGAGCCAAGAAGCCACTCGAGCTCATCTATACCGATGTGTGTGGACCGATCAAGCCGAGCTCTCTCGGTAACAGTAACTATTTTTTTTCTCTTCATTGATGATTTTTCAAGAAAAACCTGGGTATATTTCTTGAAACAGAAGTCAGAAGTTTTTGAAGTCTTCAAGAAGTTCAAAGCAGCAGTGGAAATAAAAAGTGGTAGAAAGATCAAAGCCATGAGATCTGATCGAGGTGGAGAATTTACTTCCAAGGAGTTTCAAGAGTTCTGTGAAGAAAATGGAATTCGTCGACCAATGACAGTTCCTAGATCCCCCCAGCAAAATGGTGTGGCAGAAAGAAAGAACAGAACAATCCTCGACATGGCACGAAGCATGCTCAAAAGCAAGAAACTACCTAAGGAATTTTGGGCGGAGGTAGTAGCGTGTGCAGTCCACTTGACAAACCGATCTCCAACAAGAAGTGTATGGGGAAAGACACCGCAAGAAGCATGGAGTGGAAGAAAGCCTAGCATTTCCCATTTGAGAACCTTTGGAAGTATAGCCCATGTTCACGTACCAGATGAGAGAAGAACGAAGCTTGATGATAAAAGCGAGAGTTTTATCTTCATCGGCTATGATGCTAATTCGAAGGGCTACAAGTTGTACAATCTAAACAATAAGAAGTTTGTGATTAGTCGAGATGTGGTCTTCAACGAAGAAGGAGAATGGGATTTTAACTCTCATACAAATAACTTCAATTTCTTTCCTTAGTTTGAAGAAGATGAGCAGACAATGAGGGAACAACTAGATGAATCTCAACAAAAGCTTGCAACTCCACCCACTTCACCAACATCAACCACTCAAGGAGACTCATAACCTTCGTCATCGTCAAGTGGGAGTCAAAGTGAAAGAGTTATGCAACGCACAAGAAGCCTTAGAGATCTCTATGAGGTAACTGAACGACAAGATAATCTTACATTATTTTGTCTGTTTGCCGATTGTGAACCAGTGAGCTTTCAAGAAGCGATACAAGAAAAGAAATGGAGAGATGCGATGGATGAAGAAATCAAGGCCATCGAGAAGAATGACACATGGGAACTTACCTCACTTCCCAAGGGACATAAAGCGATAGGTGTCAAATGGGTGTACAAAACAAAGCAAAACGTGAAAGGAGAGATTGAAAGGCACAAGGCGAGGCTAGTTGCTAAAGGCTATAGTCAAAAGGCTGGAATTGACTATGATGAGGTATTTGCTCCTGTTGCTTGATTGGAGACTATCAGACTAATCATTTCTTTGGCAGCTCAAAACAAGTGAAAGATACAACAGATGGATATAAAGTCTGCCTTCCTAAATGGAGTTCTTGAAGAGGAAGTTTACATTCAGCAACCATCAGGCTATGAAGTCAAAGGGCATGAACACAAGGTGTTGAAGTTGAAGAAGGCTCTTTACGGGCTAAAACAAGCACCAAGGGAATGGAATAGCCGAATCGACAAGTACTTCCAAGAGAATGGCTTCAACAAATGTCCCTACGAGCATGCTCTATATATCAAGATCAAAGATGAAGATATTTTGATCGTGCGTCTCTATGTGGACGATTTGATCTTCACTGGAAGCAACCCAAGCATGTTTAATGAATTCAAGGATGTGATGATGAAAGAATTCGAGATGACAGACATGGGGCTCATGGCGTACTACCTTGGCATTGAAGTTAAGCAACAAAATGATGGAATTTTCATTTCACAGGAAAGCTATGCAAAGGAGATACTGAAGAAGTTCAAGATGGAGAACTGTAAGCCAATAAGCACACCGGCAGAATACGGGATCAAGATGACCAAACATGAAGAAGGCGAAAGTGTAGATCCAACATTCTTCAAAAGTTTGGTAGGAAGTCTACGTTATCTAACTTGCACGAGACCCGATATTCTTCACGCAGTTGGATTGGTTAGTCGCTACATGGAATCTCCAACAACCACCCATTTTAAAGCCGCAAAGAGAATTCTTCGCTATCTGAAAGGTACAATTGACTTTGGCTTATTCTATTCAGTTTCTAATGATTACACGCTTGTTGGATATAGTGACAGTGATTGGGGTGGAGATATAGATAATCGAAGGAGCACTACTGGATTCATATTTTTCATGGGAGATATTGCGTTCACATGGATGTCAAAGAAACAACCGATTGTCACATTGTCCACTTGTGAAGCGGAATATGTTGCTGCTACCTCATGTGTTTGTCATGCAATTTGGCTTAGAAATCTATTGAAGGAGATTGGTTTGATACAAGAAGAGCTACCAAGGTTTGTGTCGACAACAAGTCAGCCATTGCCTTAGCGAAGAATCCAGTATTCCATGATCGAAGCAAGCACATTGATATTCGCTACCACTATAAGGGAGTGTGTTGCAAGAAAAGATGTGGAAGTGAATACGTGAAGTCACAAGATCAAGTTGCTGATATTTTTACCAAGCCACTGACCAGTGAAGACTTCTTAAGATTAAGGAACCTACTAGGGGTCACGAGATCAAGTTTAAGGGGGGTGTTGGATCATAAACTTGATCCATTATGGGAGCCTAAACCCAAACCCAATCTAAATTGAT